AGCGGTGCGACGGCGGTATTAGTTTTCTCCGGGGGTTGTGGATGGGTAAGGGTGCGAACGGAGTCGGAAGGCGAATGTTTCGTTATTAAATCCGAACCGCGGGCTTAAGACCGCGCGCGCATTGAAATCTTACACACCCGACCCGCGATATTGCGCGTACGCGAACCGTTCGTTTCCCATGCCGGTCGTGCGCGCGTGTGTACAGAACGCGGTCGGAACGGTTATCGGCTGGACACACACCGGGCGCGAAATCCGATCCCTGTACATCGTTACGCGATCGCGATAAATCGGATAAATATGCGATCGCGCGTGTTTGTTCGGCGTCTTTGGCACGTGCAAACACCCTAAACCGTCGCGGCCGAGCAAGAGCGGTCCGCGGTTTTCGGCGTGTGTGCGGAAAAAACTTTTGCCGACCCTCCCGGCAAACGGACGAATTATGCGATAACTATTCATTTACTATTCCGATTAATCCTACTCGTACACCAGCTGCTGGTCGGACTGTACATGCAATGTATGTTCAGGGCTCGAGCCGAAACTATAACATTTCTGTTTACCGGACTGCTTTCCTATCATATTATTGCCTTCGGTCAGTGTGTAACGGTCTCCCGCTACAACGATATAGTTATTCTATTCGACGGCGTACAAGTATGATAAACTCCCGTTGACAGTGACTGAAATCGATTGGACGACGGTTGTGGGCGTATAAAGCTCTTCGGGAAAGTCATAATTGTTCCGAAAACTGTTCGTCAACCATGAATAACATCGATTTCTATAGGATTTAATTCTTGATTCCATTAAATGTGAGGTTATGAACTTTTTGAGATATCGCCGTTATGCTTCCGTTGCTTGAAACTGTGAAATATACTGCCCGTGAATTTTGTGAAACAATACGCGTATGGATTTTTTGCTAGTCAACAATAATATTTTCATTCGATTTGTTTTTTTGTGCTGCTTTACATAATAAGTTGAACAGAGAATATTTTATGTGTTTCTCCGTACGTTACATTTATTAGCTCGATTTTAAGATACAAACGCTGACGGATTGAATGTGCCAAGTGTGGATTTTACAGATTTTGTTTTAAGTATTACCTACGCGTTTCCCAATAATTATTCGCCTGTTACCAGAGCTCTCGATTTATCAACTTCTACTGATCGCTAACGTATTCTCGATTCAAAGTTTGTCGTAGAGTTATCAGGCTAACTCGGTTCTACAATTTACATAATAAACGTGTATTCATTATTATTTAATTTTAAAGTCATTGACTTTTCCTGAACGTTCAACTATGATGTAAAAATTTATCAGAACGTTTAATGTTTTTGGGCCGATGGGGTTATAGGTTTTTTGCCAACTTATCTATTTTTGGTCCTATCACTACGACTTATTATTTATTTCGTTTGTTTTCGGATTTTTATGATATGTCTTTATAACATATTATACTTATATATCGTATGTTATTATTAATATTGTGTTTTTAAAATTGATCGTAAATTGATAATTTCGTCGTAAAAATTTAAATTTAGAATGTTTAAAAATTTAATAGAATTAATCACTTATCGAGTACACTCTTTCAATATATATATATATATATATATATATATATAAATACACAGAGAGTTGGTTATTTTCAGCTATTTCGAGTCAAACTAAAACAATTTTTCACCTCAAAACATAATTGGTTTCATGTATTTGTTTATATAGCACAAAACAAGCATTCATTATTTTGGTTGGAAAAAAAACATATGTTAAATTTCAATGAAATGAAAAATAGAATAACAATGTTTAAAGAAAACCATATGGAATGTAAACTTTTCATCTTTCGGATTACTTGAAAATCATCTCTTGGTGGCCTTGGACGCTATAATTATATTTTCAACATATACAAACAATTTTTTTTTTTAAACTTTTCGAGTGTATAAATTTGTACGCGTAGATATCGGAATAAATTTCTTTTAGAAAATATGTATAAAATAAATAACATTACTTACGAAAATCGATTACAGGACGCCGTATAACAGTTGTGTGCCTGCCGTGTTTTCTCAATAAATTGTCGATTTATTTTATTTTTTATTTGTTTTATTATTATTTGAATACAATATTAAACCGAGACGAATCAACAAGGCAAAATGACACCGGGTGACATATGGACGGGAGAAACGTCGGAATATAACACAAATGTTGTTCCGTGGGGTTTTTCTCTGTAAGAGCTATGTCTTCCTCATTTCGACGAGATTGATGCATCTGTCACACATGTGCACCGTGTCTACTATACACATACCCATACACGCAAATACGAACGCACATACACACCTCTCCTACATACAGGTTTACGTTCTCGCTGTGCCCGCGGTCGCCACTGCACAGTGGAAGCTCCGACGCAGTTTTTCTTCTATCTACTTTTATTAAAATATGTAAAGCATTTTTTTCATTCTTATTTTCTATCTCACCTGCCTTCTTTCCCTTGTCCCGTTCGTACTTCGCTCACATTCAAATACTGTCACTTTATTTAATAATCACCTTATTTAAGACCTTTTTACTTCTTTCTATGGATATCTGTGTCTCGGTCTTTTGCGTTATTAACGTAATCCTGCCTACGATCAATTTATCACGGGTGTAACGTTTCATACCAGTAAAATTCATGCACTGCATGACGTCTCAAACTGCTGAGCAACAGAATACATTAGGAACCTACCTGTCTACTATCAACAAGCATCACTATCGGTTTCGATTTGTCAAATGTGTGTACTGCTATTCTAAACTGATTCTCATTTTCTTGATTTACTTATCTACTTGTCGTGATTGGTATAATGATATCTTTTAACGTGGATAATGTTAAAATTAATACATCTAAATTTGATTTGAATCTAAGAAAACTTTTATTTATTCCGATTTGGCATACGTAATGAATCCAACATACGAGTAAAATTTAAATTGTGTTTTTTTATGCAAGTCAATTTTAATCCGAATCAAATTTTATATATATAATTAAATATGCCATATTCCGTTTCGATTTAAATATTGGTCTTCGAATTTTAGGTTGCTAAATCATTGTATTATAGGAATTAATCCCTCATGTATAATTCTTTAAGATTGGACATACAAATTTACAATTTTTAAGTTTATTTATAAATATTTTCGTTAAAATACAATTTATCGATATAAATATGTTGAGAGTACTTTTATTGTAATATTTAAATAGAAGTTATGCAAACATACGTTAATAGCTAACCTTCATGCTTTGTTTAGTGATGTTCATACTATTTGCTTTAATGTGGTTAGTTCAATATTTTACATGAACATGCAGTAAGGGCCTTATTGTATTTTAATTTACCTTATTACAAAGCTTATTTAAAAATCACGAAAAAAATCAGTTTTATGTTGAGGAATGTTTGGTAAACTAACATGGTTCTAACATGAATGTATGAATCAACATTGTTCCAATATATTTTTTTCCTTGTTCACGTGTGGTTATAAATTTTTTTTTTAATGAATTAAAAAAAAAAAAAACAATATTTATAAAATTCTTCTGTGAAACATTTTATTTAATTTTCGAATATTTTTGAACATACAACTATTATATTACAGATTAAAATGTTTATTATAATAATATTCTTTATTATTAAAAAAAAAAAACTATAATGAATTGGATATTCAAACGGTATACAGGTATATTGCAAATTCTTTCGTAAGATTTTAATTTACTTTTATTGTATTTTTTTAAATGAATAATTTATATAAATATCTATAACACATACGTAAGTTGTTTGATTCTATTGAATTTTAATGTCACTATAAATAAATAAGAACATTTATTTGAAGTAGATTTTATCAATATCAAGCTAAAGTTAAGTAGTTGAGAAAATGGTATACTATGTATTTATTTACGAATCAAGAAGAATAAACATTCATAATTTAAATTATCACTAAATAAGAGTAAAAAATATAATAAGAAATATTGAAAACAATTGAAGGGATATTTTAATATGAATATTTATTCATTATTATCCACTTCAATGTATTAATTATGCATATACCAAATTTTTTGTTCCCGTAAATCTTTAACATTTTCTTAATTTTATATTATTAATATTTACTTAACAATTGTAATATTATGTTTGAAATTTAAATATTTGATGTGTAATAGTTTTAAAGTAAATATTTTTTTTTTTTTGTTATTGTGTATTGCGAACAGTGAAATATCATTTTTTAACTAATTTAGAAAAAAAAAAACTTTTCTTCGCCTAAAGTTTATTATTTTACAGTGTAAAATTAGGTTGTATATATTTCTAACACGTAGTTCTATTGTACCAGTATACGTATAAAAGTTGAATTCCTTTATAATTTTGTTAATAAGTTCACGATTCCGTTTTGTTTCGTGGTTGTTATTAGTTGGATCATTCTTTAAACATAAATTTTCTGTGTATAGTTTGCTTTTAATATGACAATTTTTTTCTCCTAGTTTATAAACTTATAACAAATTTATTATTACAGCTGTGGTTGTTGTTATTGTTAATTTAGTTTTAACATTATAAATTAATTTAAAATATTCGTATATATTTCATTAAGGCTTGAAAGAACACATTTTTATAATTTTGATTTTATAAGTGACAAACATTGAAACAATGTTAGAATTGTTATTTTATATTGTCTCACGTGGTTGCTATTTCTTGAATCCAAGTAAAAACATAGTTATTTAATAACAAAACTATAGTTATACAGGTTAGGTAAAACGAACTCGTGCGTTATTAAATACAGTAAACGATAGCTCATTCTAAATTTATAATTATATTCTTATTAGGACTTGGTTTGTTCAGATTTGTCAAATTGATAATGTTGCTTCTGGTTAACATTCCGATACGTCTTAATTTAAATATTTCAATAGAAATGATTTATTATGTATAGTTATAAAGATGAATAAATAAATGCGTACATGAAATACATTTAATATATATTAATATTGAAAACATGTATAATAAATATAAAAAACATTTTGTTGTTTCAGTGGTTATGGATGATCCAGAATTTACGGAACCTATAGTGAACGTGACAGTACCTGCAGGACGTAGTGTAAAGCTAGGATGCTCCGTCAGAAATCTGGGATCATATAAGGTTTGATACTCTTTTCCATCGGAAATCGAATACGTGCTTAATGTTACGATATCTTTATTATATATATATATTCCTGTCTATCGAAACCAGAATCCATTATTTTGATTGAACCCCCAGAGAAAAAAAAAAACACTCTCTTTACACACTGTCACATTATCTGGATTTGGAGAATCGACCGAGTATATATGTTATTTTTCGGTAGGAAAGTAATATTTCAATCAAATTTACCATCAGAAAAAAATACGTTTCGTCACGAAAATTAAAAAAATAAAAAAAAACAGGTTCTGATTCTTTTCCGACTAGTGTATGTATTATTAAATTCATCGAAACGCGATATTCTACCTTTACGTTTTGCACACGATTATTCAAAATAAAACATACATACATCAAATATTTTGATAAACTACATACTTTTTAATTTGAAATACAAGTTCCTAAGTATTCAGCTATTTATTGTTGTTTCACATTTTTAGTAAACTTTGAGCACTCAAACTAGTAGGAATATGAATTGAATATAACGCTGTAACGGACACATATTTTCATTCAATATTTAATAATTTTGTTATTAAAATATAATACTGGCATATTTTAGATGTGATTATATCTGGTAAAATAATTTACTTGCATATCCAATACGGGCGGTTCGAAGAAAAATTAATATTATAGCGGTGAACATTTTAAATTTACAATAAACAAATATTAATAATAATTAATATACGGTAAATAAAAACAATATGTTAGGTATACATTATTTAGAGGCATACGAAAAAAAGTAACACGACAAACGTATACAATAACTGTATCTTATACAGACTTACCATAAATATAAAACGTAATTTTCGTTTCATGGACAGTACTCGATCGTAGTTCCGCGTGATCAGTGTTGTACATTGTGTTGGATTTCTTATCTCGGTATGAAAACCATAAATTACACTGTACTCGCGTCGGTTGTCCCGTGGCTTCGCCAGTTGTTAGTATTATGGTAAGTTTAAATGTTTGTTTTTATATTAAGTTTAATTAGTTTTTGTATTTTCTCTCGACGCCCGTCTCGAACTAAAAAGGCCTTATTTATTAACAGTGTGCAGACGGAGAAAAATAACTATTTCCATCTCCCATGTACTGTAGCGCGCGTGTTTCATGCGAATCCGTTTATAATTCGGTTACTAAAATGGTATTGACTAACTAGACGTTTCCAGTTGGTTTTAACATATAACACGAATACAATGAAATAATACGTGAACTGTTATGCTGAACAATGGTGGTTCAAAACATTTCTGAAAATATAATAATATGGCTAATTAAGTCGCGTAATGCTTACGAATGCGTTGTATATTAAATAGAATGCAAGACTTGTAAGCAACGATGATTTGGTCAGGGGTTAACTATCGAATAACTATACTATAGCAATAATAATATATGTATATAGTGTCTTGGGTATAAATTCTAATTGTTTTTTTTTTTCGTATTTTCGGTTTTAATAAAGCATATTTTTTCATTTCAGTTTCAAACATTTTTCCATTCAGTATAAATTCGACGGCCTAACCTAAGAAGTATTGTTAAATGATAACTATCGAGTGAATGTATGTTTGTTCATGATTAATAGGAGATCTATGTAACTTGATAGTTAATAAACATTGTATGTAACATTTATACATGTTTAAGTGAAAAATATGTTTGCAATATATATAAATCTATTAAACCGTGTCTGGTTTCTACGGTCCATGGTACATCGTAGTTTATATTTTAATCATGTATAAATAACTAGACGGCCGCAATAATTTGTTTATTTTTTTTTAATTTTAATTTTGAACACCGTATATAATATGATATATTATTGATGAGTAAATTTTGTAATTTGATTGACTTACAGATTTACAATGACAGTGGTTACCGGAATTAAAAATGTATATAATTTCTTAATTTGGATACTAATTTATTACTAAAACACAACGTCCTTCGTATAAATTGTTGCTAGTTGTGTATAACGTTTGAATTTATTGCATTCAAAAGCATAATCCGAAATATTATTTAACATTATTTTCTGTTGATAAATTTGCATTGCGCCCGACCTTTGTCATAAGTTATATTATGCTTCCAACATTTAACCTTCTTGAGGCCTTTGATCCTAAAAATAAACACTCGTATTTATGCATGTATAAACATTTTTCTCGAGTATCACGTTACGGATGTTTGCATTTGGAAAACCAAAGTCGGTATTATGCACAGACGTGGTGAACATTTGAGGCGTGTGCCAGAAAAAGGGCAATTGGAGCTGTATAAGGGTGAAAAATCCGTTCAAAAATGCTAGAGGTATTCATTCTGTTTTGCACAGCTGTATAATTCTCGTCTAGCATAACGCACGTGTGTCGAATTTAAAATTTACGAATCCACCCTTTTTTTTACATATATATATTTTATATAAGTAATCTCTTTGCCACACGACTCAAATAACTAAGCGAACATATACTGTAACCATCAATTTGTATCCAAAATTATTTTTATCTTCTTGTACATTAATAAAATACTAACGTTCGTAAAATGTATAACTCTTTTGTGTATGTTACATTGTAGTATTACTTTAATTATACTTATCACAGACGGATTCCTCGAAACAATGTTCAAAACCGAATCGACATGAAACGTTTAGGCTCGTTTCACACTTTTACGGTTCGATTCGGTTCGGTGCGTAGTCGATTCGTTTTCGGTAGCGTCTAAAAATGAATGAAAACTCTTCACACACACTCGGTTAGTATAAGGTTTGACTTCACGACCGAATTATCGAATACGCAGTCACTTTGACCACAATGCTCACTATGGAGAAAAGACAGATTGCTGCAATGTTATTTCTCTATAGAAGTTACTTGTTTTGTCCCACAGCACTACACGTGATTGGACTGATGAAATCAGCCTATCAATATCAATGTCAAGTGAATCACACATTGTCAAATGTAAATTAAAAAATTTAAAATGAGAAAATGAAAATGAAATAATATTTCCCTTGCCGTAAACGTGACCGAACCGAAATTAAACCGTATGTGTGTAAACGACTAATTGCTTTTGTGAACTCTGGACCCGAATGGAAACCGAACGAAATCGATTCGTGTCGAGGGAGCTTTCGGTTCTATCAGTTATCTATTAGGTACCGAACACACACCGTATTACCGTTTCACACTTTTCCGGCGGCTACCGAAAACGAATCGAATACGCGCCGAACCGAATCGAACCGTATAAGTGTGAAACGAGCCTTAAAGGTACATATAAAGATTATATGAAAGTGGGTAGAAAGTTAATCGATTTAGGTTGTTTGAGTCATGTTCAAAGTGCCACGTCTATTTATCATGTTTCACATGTTTATCAGAATATTCTGACGGATACCCGAAGTAATGTTGACAACATTCATTATAATATATATTATATTGCTGTACTTTTATTTTTTTATTTTTTGGTTTGAAACATTCAAGTTTTCCACTAGCGTAGGGTTAAAATAACCGGCCAATTCAATATCATAAAGACTATGCAAAAGTTGTGATATTAGAGTAGGGAGCAGGGGCACCACCTGAGAGTAATTGGCCAATTTGGCCGGTGTTTTTCCTCGTTTTTTTGATTATTATTTTCGGTAACAGGACCGCGAGTTTCTTGTACTAATTCTACCCTCTTTCACTTATTTTATCTTAAGTACTATGCTGCTTTTACTCCACCGACTTCATTGTAATAACGATAATGGGCATAATAATAATAATTTATAGCAATAATAATTATTATAATGATAAAATAATATTATGGCAAACCGAATGTTTTTATCTTTAATTTATTTTTTCGGTATCGCAAGAGTTGAGTGTACGCACTTAAACCGAATATTTTATTTTTGGCCACATTGATTTATTAAAATTCCAGGGATTGAAATATAAAATGACTGTTGTGGGTAATACCCTGGGAATATACAAATTTTGACAACACGCGTGTAATACGATCGTGGTTTAAATTTGTCATAAAATAAAATATTTCCCAATAACTTCACCCTTATTTTAACTTTAGTAAGCTTTTTAGTAATATTTATTTCATTCGAATAGATTTATTTTCGTGAATACGCGTCGTTAATTCGATTTGCGAATATTTCCTGAAGAAAACTCGATAAATAATATATTATGTGTCATTGGTAAAAAAAATCTTTGTCCATACTATACGAAATAATTTCATTTTAAGTTCAACATTATTTTTCTAAAAAATATGTTAAACAGCAATAATATATCGATAAAGAATATTTTTACTATAAAATATATTGTTAAAATAATGAATAATAATTAATTATAAATAATTAAGAAATATTACTCTGATCATCATCAAATTAAAATTAAAATATAGGAAATATTTTCACTTAGTCGTGTTTTATGTTATTTTAGTTTTTATTTCATTATACCTCTTAGTTATTAAAATATTTACAATTATTAATATGTGAGTTATAATTGTTTGGACTGCTAATGAATATTTTGATTGGCTTTATTACGTGTGCAATAATATAATTTATGTGCTGTTCAGACAAATTAATTTCTTATGATATGAATTATTAATTTGTTGCTCATTGAACAAAACTCATATTAAGTGATCATTATTTACTGTGGATTTTACTAATAACTTTTGAATCTATTTTTTTCTCAACTATTTTACTTTTATTATTATACAACTTTAACTTCATGGTTCTTTAGTATTTTCGTTTTAATTTATTTTAGAATAGAGTATAAACGAATTTTCTTACCATACTATTGCACTGCTGATAGTTAAATTATTCAATACAATTCTTTAAGATCTAGAAAACGATGATGGTATTCATAAGTGTTTTAGTAAAATCATTGTTTATTTTTTTTATTTATAATATTTTCAATTCGATTTTGTTAAATTAGTTTTCTATGGTTTAAAAGAAACAATTGGTTCTGATATTGCATCAAATATATATTTTTTATTTATATACTTGGGCTGTATTTAAGTAGGTATCTAACCTAATGTAGATATTACATCATATATTAATATTTGTTATATGTAAAAACGGTTTACATGGAATGTAAAAATGATTTAATACATTTTAGTTTTTTTCTTTAAACTATCACAATCAGCCATAAATAGGTTTTAAAATTTTTACTTGATACATTTTTTCTATATAATTCAAATCTGAAATATATGTCTTAAAAACATGTAATTTGATTGATTTTTTTTTTTTTTTAATATTATTAATTTTAAACTGTATATCGAAATACTTTAAGATTATTTTTAGTGATAAACGAAAGTATTTATTTTCTTCATAAATTCAGAATAAAACTAAGTTAGCCTTAAACATTATTGTAATTTACTATGAAATAATATTTTTGTTCTTTTTATTAAAAATTAATTTTTTAATCACAATCATATTTTAATATTAATCATAGTATAAACAATAAACCAAATCAGCTATATCTTATTTATGATGCTTATTATTAATGAAAAACCTTTTGATGTAAAATTAAACCCTTTGATATAATATTGCACACAATTTTTATAAGTTGTGTGTTATAAAAAAAGATGATATTTTTTCTTGTGACCATCTTAGCATTTTAAATTTAGGATGTAGTGCCAGTGTCTTGGTTATTATAAATTCTTTTTTCGAAATTATATCAGGTATTATATTATGTTAACCAAACCGATTTAGCCGAATTCTTATACATTTTTGGTGTACAATTAGGGTTTTTTTTTTTTTTGATTTTGCTAAATATATCATCATAGCATTAAAATCAGTATTAGCATTATCAAGTTAGTATTATCAAATGTCGAATAGGTTTAAAACAAATCTTTAATTTTTTAGCTTGTAGATTAATTGTATTCAAATTAACTAATTAATTTTTCATGTATAAAATAATTAATTGCCGTGAAAACTTTGTACTTAAAACATCCGGAAGACGTTTACTGTTTAGTTGGTAGAGAATAGTGGGTGGCCCGAATATTAAAATCCTGTACCGTTGCCTGATAAAAATGAATTTTAAATCCGTACTTATACACCATATTTATATTAAACGTTATCGGAAAATAGTTGAGTGATTTTTTTTACTTAAATTATATTAAAAATTATACCGCATTATTAGGAAACTGCTGAGTGCGAAAAATTACTGGCCCAAGGAATCGTGCTTCATCATACGATAGATAGATCTACGTCATGTTTTTTTTTTTAAACGATACAATAATTGTATTTCTTATTTTTCAAAGAACACCGTTAAACTTTTGATTGTATTTCCTGATTGACAATTATTTATCAGAAATATGTCAAAACTTTTTAAAGTAAACGATATCACTCATAAAGATAGAGAATGACGTTTTCTCGTATTAAAAATGTCGCCAAGATGGAATATCGTTTTCGTTCGAAATAAAATTTACCAATTATTTCGTAGCGTTAAACTTACGCTTTTCACTATCGAATATCGATTAGTACACATATTCTGTCTATGTTACGTTCGCCTTACTGTACTGCTCTAAAAAAATGAAAACATGCTGTCTCATTATTTTTTTAAATGATTGTATATACAAACGCACTAGACCGGAAAATCATTGTACTTGTTGATGGATATTCGGTAACTTTGTACAGAAAACGACTTCAACCGCCCTCTTCCCTCTCACCGCTCCTAATGACAAAATGCCTCCGTTTATAGCACTCAAATATGTGATGATATTATGATTACAGGTAGCTTGGATGCATTTCGAACAGTCCGCCATATTGACGGTAAACAGTCACGTGATCACTAGAAATCCAAGGATCACGGTGTCACATGACAAGCACAGGACGTGGTTTTTGCACATAAACAACGTGCAGCAAGAAGACCGCGGCCGTTACATGTGCCAAATAAATACGATCACGGCTAAAACTCAAATTGGTTATCTAAATGTCGTCGGTGAGTTGTGTTTGATTTATATATGTAATAAAAGTGATATAAAGTTATATTAGTTGTAAAAAAACATTTCATGCGAAAAAAACTTTTATTATTAAATCCAAAATAAACTATTACTAATAGGACTTCTTTACAATTACGCAGATAAACGATATTGACTACTCATTATATCTCGTACTGAAATAAAAGTCACTATGCATCAATATTCTATTTTTGATCTAAGTTGTTAGACTACTACTTTGATACAAATGAAAAAATTAAAAAAAAAAAATAATAATAATAATAGGATTTCATCGACAAATTACAATTATGTCAAATTTGAATTTTTGTCCATACCAATGAATGGAAACCGAATTAAGCACTCGAATTATAATTCGTGAGTAGGAGGTGCGCAGAAAAAAGGATTGTTTTCTGATAAAAACTATTTTCAAACTTTGAAACAAATTATAATTGGAAGGGTGGTTATTGGTTTTATTTGTAAGTTGTAAAAAGAAAAAAAAAATGTTTAATTAATATTTACACTTTTTATAACTTTGACATTTAAGGTAAATTATTTAATAATTATATGTTCAAAGCTTTAAAGTTGAAACATTTTTAATAAAATAACAGTTTACTTTAGATTCATTTAAACTGCTAAAAACCATTGCATTTTGAAAAGCACGAAAAATAAATCAAATAATAAAACAATTTGTACAATTCGCTATTTTTGAGCGTTTAGTAACAAAAAAATATGAACGTGTTGTGATAATTCAAATGTCGTTAATTGTTGAAGTATATCAAAAACGATCACGTCATAGTTTAAACTGTTGAATAAACCTCTAAACAATGACGATTTTGTTGGACAGACGATAATTCAATTTCTCGTTGAACACATTATTATTAACCATTTGCGTGCGTGTTACAAATACGTAGAAACGATTATTACCGCATCAGTACAATAATTATTTTAGAGTTCATTATCGGGAAGTCTCGTAAACTTTTCAACTATCCGTTTGGAATCGCAACACAATAAGTAGTGACAGGAAAACAAGTATTACATTATGAATGGCGAGAATAAATTAAATGGATTAAAATTAACTACGTAATACAGCGGACTGCACATCACGTTTGTGTAAATGTGTTTTACCGTTCTAAAATTATTTCTTGAGAACGTTTTTACGTCGTAAATGCGAACATTAAACGAATGAACTATGGACGATAGTACTCGTCGTTTGGTGTCGATGACTGTTGCAATTAATTTTTTTTAACTGTCTTGAGTGAAACCATTCTTGCTAAAGATGTAATCCAAACCGATACGTATTAAAACAGCTCTAATATTCATTTTTCATTTTTACACTATTTATAATAGTTTTGAATGTTATCGGATTATTTTCGAGGTATCATATTTATATATTTTCAAACTATAATTTATTAATCATCACGATTTTGAACCAAAATTTAATCCAATTATTTAAATATGTTGATAATATCTAACGAGAGTCTTTGATTGTAAATACAATTATTTTTAAGAGCGTTTTTTAAGAGAGATCTATTTTAAGAGCACCATAATTCCAGCTCTTAGAATGACATTTAATCATCCGAATTCGTGTTGTTTAACAATTTTATTTATCTGACCAAGTGTCACTTACTCGCATAGTACTCGCTCAATGTACGTGTATATTATATAATAGCGCGAGAAAACTTTATAGTGCGTCCACTCGACAATCAGCGGTTCAACCTCTTATGCCACAACTACCGCAGGGGTGGTTTACGAGCAACCCACTCGTTTAAATTGTACTCAAAACCGAATAGCGACTTCTTCCACCTGGGCTGTGACACTCTCCATCTTCTCATGTTAAATATTTTGAAAGCCTTGAACTAATAAATAAACTGCTGATGATAGGTATATCACTAAAATTTTGATACAAAGTCATATTTAGTTTATATATTATTGTCCATAAGTGTATGGCCATATCATGATAAACAAAATATGTTTACTAAAGATATAGTATTATGACGTAAAAAACTGATTTTGATATCTAGTCGGGGCCCGGAAGTTCGTTACGAACCTTTAGTAAATCTGTAAACAAACCATTATCACCTCGAACTGTAATTTCTACAATTTTCTAAGTTACTATCAAGAATGGTTCTTGATTATTTTTTCCCCACAAACCATAATACTCAGTGGAACAAAGGCATGATTTCGATGAAAAATCATTTGGAGTCACTGAAGACTGTACGAGAAAACAGAAGGTTTTAATAAAATAGTAGGAACTCCTTTTTGTCCCTTATGCTACACTCACTAACTTACTACTGGTTGTACCAATCAGTTTAAATATAAGTTATAAAACACAACAACGTTGGTGGTTGACCGGTTAGATGATTAGTAATTAATATTTATTATCATTTATAATTAGAAAACATTTCGTAACCTGCCGGATCGAGTTAATCAAATTAATTAACAAGACTGGGCAGTTAACATTATTTTTTCAACCCGTTAAGTTAATTTGGAAAAATGTAAGTTAAGTTAAAAGTTACTTTTATTTATTTTTTTATTAAACTTGTAAAAGTTACAAGTTAATTGGAAAAAATAAATAAATCAACTTGGATAAAAATAAGTTACTTTTTATTACCATATAAAACTAATAACTATAGATATTTTTAAAGCTTAACGACTAACATAATATTATAATATAGGACTGAATATTTAAAAAAAAATGTACATTGCTGTAGGCACTTGCATAAGATGTACATTACGGTCAGGAAATCAACGGATATTTAATAATAAATAAATAATAATCGACCCGCTTATGGTAAATATACCATCACCACGGGCCAAGTCATGAACGAATATATAACAAACAACAAATCTTAATTGAAAATGATTAACGAGTTAACACACGTATATGGGATTTCGGGATCGGATAAATATTTTTCTTTTCTCAACACCGATTACCCCTATAGCCTTAAACTTTTCTTTTTAATCTTTAATATCTATACATATTATGTTCTGTGAACACATAAACGATTATTTATTTCACACTAGTCGTTTAATATATTTTGACATTTTGTAATTTGCATTAGTCATCAAGAGTTTGTATTTATACACGTTATTTTAAGATCCAAACATTGTACTGAACATTTCGACCGTCCATAATACTCGGAATACCTACAATGTAGGTCCTACACAATAGCACGTCATATAATATTTTATATCTAAGATAGTAATGATTATTATTATTATAGATCGCACAAAACGTAATGATAAATCATATAGATAAATCATAGATTTATAAAAAATTAAAAAGAAAAAAAAAAAAAACTCAACTTCACTACAAAACGAATTAACCCGTTACCCGTTGACCTCGTCGTGTGACTTGGTTAAAAGTAAACTGAACTTGTCGACCCGCGTCGATGGGCAACCGTTGTCGATGAACTCCGGATAAGAATCGCGGGTCATAAAATGTGTTGCGGGTCCGTTCGGGCGTGTGACGTTTGCACGAGCCGACGAATCTCACGAGGGTACGTTCGGGGAATGGGGTTGTTGCCGATACGTCAGAGCTGAGCTGAGCCCCGAGTCGTCCGAACCGCGCGCCGCGGAGATGAGTGCCGGATGCGCGACGATGTTTGTCGTGGACGTAGACGCACGGCGAGATAATGCCGGACGGAACAAATGGTCGCCGTGACGGGCGCGCGGGTCGCCGATCGTGACCGAAAACACGAGACCGCCGCCGCCGGTGGTCACGTCGCACCATAAATAACCCGGTGCCGTCGCGCGTCCCCTTAATTGGCGTTGATATTTCAGAGCGGTGTGCCGTTGCGGCGTCATACGTGCACTATAAAAGTTCCGTTTAACTTCCGCGAACCCGCCCCGTGCACCCCGCCCGACGACGACGACGACGACGACGATGACGACGCCGCGCCGGCCCTATTAATTCATAATTCGCTCCGTCGGCCCGCCGTAACCGTAGACGGTCGGGGCGCGCGGTACCACGCGAACGACGAGGATCGGGGAAGGGGCGATGGGGAGGCAAAGGGGGACGGTGTTCGGGAAGGGATCGACTGGCGGTCCGCGTGGGTGGGACGCGCGAAAGATGACGGTCGTGCGGACTCACTACCAACGGACGGGTAGGAGATGCGTGTGCGAAACGGGATTCTAACTTTGAATTGATTGCTTGTCACCGTCGTCCGTGTGATATATCATTTGCCGCGCGTTGACAACCGTACCACCTGGGAACCGGAGCGGGGGTACCCGACTGCCGCCCCTCCGCGGGCGAGCACCGTTTTTATCCGGGGTAACGCGGGCGGGATGATCCGTTGCTCATTTATATCGCGTATACGTGCGCGTGTTCGCGACACGCGTGCACATACGGGTAATAAATATATTTATGTTACCGTCTGAAAATCATAAAATCGCGTCCTGGACCGGTAAACGTGTGTGACGAAACGATCGGTTTCCGCGACGGGATGTCAACCGTCGTTCGATGCATTATTACTATTGTTATTGTTCAACCCGCTTACGACATTTTCGCCCGTAACGATTGTCCCGATGTCGCGCTACCTACCACATGCGACGTTTAACTGACGATCGAACAACCCAACGACGATTGGCAAAACTACGTACGTGGCGGTACAACTGTGTTTCGAGGAGTGCCGCCTACAACGCTTATGAGCCCTATCCTATCAAAACGTGTAGGTGTATTTAATACATTACGACGTATAAACAATCAAATTAATTTAATACCGTATTCGATGTTGCGGTGTATTAGTCCCAATCGATACGTTTCCCTCGAACACCTTCAACTGTTTATGATTTGTACTCTTGTGGTCAATTATAGCTCTTATGTGATCGTTATATGAGTTTTTGCACGAACATTTAGAACGTTTTGTTTCATACTTTCGAAACGGCATTTATTTTTTTTACAAATATTTTAGAATACAACAGTTATCATACGGACTCCTTACACTTGGATTTAAACCGTAAGACCCCATTTACAACATTTTGGGGATGCCCAAGCACATCC